TTTGACATTCAAGGTCGAGACCTCAAGGTTTACAACATTCATGGAGGAAAAAAAAGCCCTAGAGATAAGGTCCTGTGAGGCGGTGTTCGCCTCTGGTTCTGACCGTACCTGTCTCGGTGTGCTGGGATCCGGCATGCTGTTTCCTACACTCCTCTCCCTCCTGCTTTGTACAGAGCTGACAGTAGCTATCATCTTAATACACAACACTTTGTAAAGAGAAGTCATCTGGGGCTGTTTTAAGTTGAAAGCGTTTACGCGAGTTGTAAATCATACCTCCCACCACCATATAAAGAACCAGGCTCAGAGGAGATGTGACTGGGAGGTGCAGCCAGAGCAGGTGCTGTCTGCATGCCCAAACTTCCCTGTACTCCTCTGAGTAGTTCCTGCGTGCCGATCATCACCCTGTGTGTTGTGTCTGAGTCAAACAGTGGTGTGGAGGGCTTCTGAGCTGCTGGTCAACTGCAATTGAAACACCAACCTGGATACGCTTTTGTCCTGGTTTCGGCTGGGACAGAGTTAATTATCTTCTCAGTAGCTGCTGTGTTTTGGATTTAGTGTGAGCAGAATACTGATAATAAACTGCTGTGTTTAGTTGTTGTTGAGAAATCAAGGACTTCTCTCCAGTTTCCAATGTCTGGCTAATCGGCAGGTGTGCAGGAGCTGGGAGGGAGCGCAGCCAGGCAGCTAGCCCAAGCTGGCCAATGGAAATAATCCATACCATGGGCATCATGCTCAGTATATAAATGGGGGCTGGCCGCAGGGCAGGAACACCTGTTTCCAGGAGTTTGAACTTTTCCGTGAGTTTGGCTGTTCTGTGGGTTTGGTGAGCTCTGTGAAATCCGCGAGTTCCACTGTTGCTGCTCAGGGATAGGCTGTGCAATTGGTTGTCGGGCAGTGAGGAACATGGTATTGTGTGTCGCTTGTTTTGCATATTCTTTATTATTTCTGTTTCCTTTGTTGTCTAATTATTAAACTGTCTTTATCTCAACCCACGAGTTTTACTTTTTGTCCATTCTCC